GCGAGAGTTTGTATTAAAAAGTCGTCGATTGAAAGAACCCATGATCTAAATCGTCAATTATGAAAGATTCTAGGGTTTGAAAAAAAGGGGAAAAGAGAAATCAGAGTGATCGGTTGAATCAAACCTCTAACTTGTTGATGAAGAACTTGTCTCGTCGCCATGATCGTTTCTTCTTTCAATTTTCGTTTTTTTCTGCTGCAGAGAGAATCTGAAAGAATGTGAAGAGAATTAGAGAGGAAATGGTTTCTTATGGGGAAGAAAAGGAAAGGAGGGAGGAGCCAAAGAATCAATTTCCAACGGTCAAATATTTAGCGGGGTTAGATCTTAGCCGTTGGATGATAAAGTTTAGATCCAACGGTGGATAAGGAGTTTTATTCTTTCTCTCTCTTCCCTAAAGTTACCGTTCGACTGTAAAATTTTCACGCCTTACACATTTTTTAATTTCATTTTCCTTTAATGACTTGGTTGGAGTTTTAAATACAGTTTTGTTTTTCATTATTGGCCAGGTTGGAGTTTTAATTCGAATTAGATGAAAACTAGTTTCTATAATTGGTTTTATTTTGTCTTTTTGGGTCCATTTTCTATTTGCTGTTTAGTAGAAATGTTTAAAACGAATAAAAAATTTAATTTATAGATTGGTCGTTCATTTTAAAAAAAATTATATAACTATTCATTATGTTGATAACATGGGTAAAATATATTACAGATTAGGCTTAATGCTTTTGCTATAACAGAATGTCAGAATTACGCTTAATTTTGATATGTTAAATTATGTGTTTTTTTTTTCTTTCACAATATTACAATGGATAAATTGAAAGGCCTCATGCTTGGCCTTCCATCTCTGTTCCAACTAGAGAAAATTAAGCATAATGTCATTTGGTTTGCAACTGAAGGTGTCGTAGACGTTGTCTTTACAATAGGCTCTTTCCTTTTGGCATTGATAGGTGTTGGGCCTGTTGGCTTGGAACAGAGGTCTCTAGGCCCAGTGTAGTTGCAACACATTTAGTGGATTGGGCCAAATGTTTTATTAACGAGCCAAATCATTCGACTGGTTTAGAGACTGCAGATTAATTTACACAATTATTAGGAGAGAACATTTTGGTACGTAACCTTTTACCCTTGGGGTTGATTAGTTTCTTCTTTTCTATATCACGTTCATTTTTAAGAAACTTAGCGTTTTCTTCGTTGGTCTTTAAATACTTGATTGTATAAATCCACAAGACCACAATGTAAACTGAAGCAAATTGTATATAATCTCGAGTTGCATTATAACATAATAATTTGCTTAAGTTTACATTCACATTACTGTAAACCGGATAATAGACCCAAACCAAACATTTCAGTAACGCGAACTTTTGTCGACCTTCGTAGCCATATTCAGTTTTACCAACTCGAACCGCATTCACTGATTTCAAGCTTTCAACTTGTAATTCAAACATTTTGATTCCATAATTTAACAGTTTTCCTTAATAATATTCTGATGAAACCATTGAACATAGCCTTCGATTATAAGATTAATCAAATGAAGATAACAATGTAAATCATAATCAGAATACCAATAAGCAAGATAATTAAGTACAGGCTCAATTACTAGACAACATAAGGTCCACTTCATCGCTAAGGAACAACTATATGTCAAACAAAAACACTATCGACGTAAAAGGAAAACTAATTCCTGGAGAAATGTAAAATGGTAGATTAACTTGGAGAAATGGAGATGTCAGATTAATATTGCCAAATAAACGTTTTGAGCTCATAATGAAACCATTCGCACATCTAATTGAATCATCACACAAAAACCATTCCTCCAATTTCCAATTTCAAACC